TCAAGAAAGCTCTCTTTAAATGCAGGTATTAACTTAAGATCGTTTGGTGTCAAGCTTTGGCTACTGAAGGAGTTTAATAAATTACCAAATGTACCTCTGTTAAAAGTGGTTATAACAACTTCATATGGGCAAATTCCTGAGAGGTAGTGGCTTCTTTAATCAAATTGCTTGGAAGTAAAGCACTTTTTGGAAGACGAAATCTTAATAATGAAATAATAATAATAATGAAAACATAGGAAATATCCCTTAATAAAGGTCATTTTAAAACTAATCGCTTAGTTATTAACTATATTAGTGGTGTTGCTTAGGAAGTTTTCCAAACTCTTCAAAATCACCTTCTCTTCAGTAATTTTTATGATAATCTAAATCATTCCCTTTGAAAGCTTAATTAGAGAACCACTGCCCTTCGTGATCACCAATCTTTTTTGTGAGCACAAGAGGTAAAACAATTTCGACTCACGTCTCCCTCATATTCACAAGACTTTTTTAGCTAAGATTATCAGTAGTGGAGATGTATACCATGAAGTCTATGATCTACCAGTCTAACCTTAGATGCTGCGAATCGTTGATGATATTAAGTTTTCGCACTGAATACATCATCCAGGCAAGTCCTCGATAATGGTATATTGAATACACAAAAACCAAGTCGCACCCACTTCAAATATTCTTTAAAGTTCAATTATAAATGCGGTCGATGGGTTTGTCGAGATATTTTTGTGACTGCAATTGGGCGTGCATGCATTATTGGAAGCCTAAAAGAAAGCAACTACTCACCCCTCTCTGAGGCCGTAGCAAGAATAAGAGCAAGTTGCCGATGGACTATGAGATCAGCATAGCGTCGGATAGGTGAAGTGAAGTGCGTATAGTTGGTCATATTGAGGGCGTAGTGACCGGTGTAGAAAGGAGGAGATTTCATGGAACGATTGGGGACCGCACCTAGACAGTAGTATTCAGCCAGGTTCATGCACCTCGTCAGAATGTTTAGCGTTGCCAGAAGTCTCGCTTCCTCCATCGTTTCCTCTTTCACAGCAACAACATTAGAATTGTTTGATTTCACCGTACAACCCATCATAGAGGCACAGAGCTCCGCCAAATTGTCCGAATGCTGCCATGTGGTGCCGCTGACACAGCCCGAGAGGCGATTGAGTGAACTCTACACAACGTTTTAACTTTGGCTGTTAATGGAAGCCACGGTGAAAAGTTGGTATAGCCCTTCCTTACCCTATTACTTTTATGACGACCACATAGTTGAATAGGCAAAAAGGCTGCTTTCAGAATGAGGCTATGAAACAAAACTTAATTCTCCGTTTCTCAAAGGAAATGATTACCGATTCCCACAAGTAGGATGTATAATACGGAGACAAAAGTAGTCAGGGCATCCGAAGACTTTGACATAAAATTAATAGGTGAGTAATTTGAGCAAAGGCCTTACAATTCAAAGCAACCTAGTATAGGAGACTTTACGCACTTCGTTACTGTTCCCACTGATAATAACTAAAGACTCACAAGGACCGTCGAATTTCAACCAGGAAAATTTTTAATTATCATCCCAATACCGATTCAGATTCAGCTGATTAACAACCAAAAGAAAATGAGTAGGACAAACCCAATTTCGAAACACCTCTTGAAAAGCACCAACGAAAACAATATGAAGTAAACATTCTCCTCCACAAGACAGATGAAAGACAAAAGAGTGATAGAGACCCCTTGAGCCCCTTATGGAGTCTTTCATTACGCAGTCTTATAAGAATACGGATTGCACCTTACCTTTGGTTTCATTTATGCATATTCATAAAAAATACGTCAAAGTTATGGGTCCATAGTGCAAACGCTCAATCTTCAAGGAGCATTTAATACGTCGAATTGTTCGGAGTAACCAACGCCCATGCTTGTTGGTTTTGCCAACGTTGCAACAGAAACAGACAATCACTCACTAACACAAAAACCACATCCCATCACAGGTTCATCAGTCAACCAGCCAACCAGACGGCCGGCAAACAACGTGAAGTGCACATCATGCCTTTGCAATGCATGTGAAGGGAAAGATAAACGAACTGACACTCGAGTTCGCCACTACCAATTTATCACAGCACAAAATACGTGGTCTACTTCCACAATCAAGTTGAGTATTGCTTAACGTTGATTCGAAGAGGATAGTTCCCTTCCATTTTCAACTTCAATTGGACACCGCCCCCAGTTGTTGGAACCAAAGAGTCTTATCAAACGTGAACCAATATCATTTGGTATTCCACCAGAAAAGCTACTTGAGATGGCATGCTGAACATTCACAACAGTCTGTGCAACCGATGCCGAGGAAGGCTTCTGCGATCTTATCATATAGAGGGCAGTACTTATTTCTACAAAATCTAGACTGTTGGAATGAACATTTTGATTTAAGAAGCTGTAATGCCTTTTATCAGAAAGGAGATATTAGAGGTTTTAAAGGTCATTCTCTAAAAAGCAATCTGAGTAGAAAGCATCTAAGTGGAAGGAATTGGACGACATAGGCCAAATTAATAATAACACTACTACACACCCCGTCCTATACTGTCTTCAACAGTGGTCGAGTTAAAGCAACATTAAGACAGTAGAAACTAGAATGAAATTAGTAGTGAGCTGGGTATGATCAGAGTGGAAAACAAAGACCAGTTGATGAAAATTTTAACTAAATGATCGTGGTAAGAGAAAAGATATTGGCCCCAAAAAGATTTTAATTGAAAAGCGTAAGTTGCAACCAAAAAAAGTGAAACCTTGTTGCCCTCCTCATATCTAAGCTCGTAGCTGCATCCTTGCTGGACAAGCAATTAACCAATCATTTCTAAAATAATTTGGAATCGAAACTAAAGATAATACCTGGATAGAGCCAGCTGAGGTGACATTAACATCCACTCCAATGATGCGCAGGAGGGAACGCGCATCCAAAGTCTGCTTAGTGGTGGGAGGGGGATGACGACGTAGGAAGGCGGTACGGGGTAGACGGGAAGCGAGGAGGTCAGCCACAGCTTCATTTGCCGCCAGCATCCACTCCTCTACTAAACGGTTCGCCGGCCGCACAATGAAGGGAGCCACGCCCACTGGTAGACTTGTTGTTTCCATCAGTGTGAAAGTCGGCTTTACTTGGTTCAGCTGCAATGCTCCGCTCTCAAAGCGACGTGCCCGCATTTTTACCGCCAACTTTGATGCAAAAGAAAAAGCAGAGACCTAATGGTAAATCGATTTCCATGGGTAACTAGACTAAGCAGAATATCACTAAGCGTGTCTAAGGCTTACTTCGATGTGACTTAAAATACTGGAGCATACTACGGTGAAACTGTTTAAAAGTGCAACATCGCTCCCACCATAAAGATTTTCTTGAATGGAAACCCATGTCGCTCGCATATAAGCAAGCCGAAGCAAGGTTTTGAAGTAAAGAACATCCTCCCTCTACGGTTTCAAACCAGGCAAAAAGCCATACTTTAATACCGGCAGGATTTATTTGGACTCAGAACGGTGGAGATTGATGTCTAGGTGGCTGAAATGCATCAAGCGGTGGGCAACGTACAAATTGATACATAAACAACGCCTACAAATACAAAATATCGCCAACCGAAGGACGAGGAAAGAAAACGACTCAGCGAAACCATAAATTTGACCAAATTTAACAACATTTAAGCAAATTCATTGAACTTATCTTTCTGCATTACTACAATGGTCTATTCCACAGTGCAGGGGCATTTACACATTAAAATCACGAAACCTGATTTCGAATAAGTGTACTGAAGTCGAAACACACCTCATTGAGGGTAAGAACGCTACGACAAATCTCCTTGACATCTGCACCGCCTTCGAGGTTTGCAAGATCAGAGGGCTGCCAGTCGCGGTCAGGGTCATCCAAAAAAGCCTAAGAGTAAAGTACAAAGGTCCAGCGCATATCATTTTATCCCTTCAAAAAAAAGTAATGCTCCAACTGGATACCTGTGCGTCCTCGTAGCTAAGCTTAGCTCGTGAGTGAATGATCGATCTGCCAAACCACTTCGTTAGCATCTGCAAGGGAAAATTGAGCAAAATTTTAAAAGATCTAATTTCAAATATGAGCGAGCTTCAAACCTCAAAATTGCCTCTAGATTCGCCACTTTCGCAATAGCTACACAGCTGTCGCAAGACATACCACAGTTCAAAAGATATTGACGGTTCCAGGGAATGAAGTACTTTGGCCAAGGGTAAGAAAGTAGAATTCGCCTCTACAGCTCTCTTGGAGCGGCAGCAAAGTACCTAACTGTACCTCATATCATTATAATTTTTCCTTGCTTTGGATGATTATATTACCAAACAGCATTTAGGAAAACGACAGTTGACTGAGTAGACTATTTCATCAATGCCAACATTTCATTGCCCTAGGTGTGACAACCTTTTGTCCATACTCTCAATAAGTACTCCACGTAGTTGCTATAATAAACCTTCTATAGCCCTCCAGAAATGACTCAGAGAACAGCGGTTTACCATACGAAAATAAACCGTCCTATCGTTGAAATTGAATATAGTGAATCCAGAGCAAAAGGGTGGCACCTAAAACATACTCTAGCGTCTTTGGTAAGCAAAAAGACGACAGAGAAGGTGAACTTGTCACCCCCAGGATGTAGGCTGCAGAGATCTTCACATAGGCCTCGTGGGAGCATTGGAACGCAGAGTTGGACAAGATAAATAGAGGTGGCTCGTGACGCCGCCTCCACATCCACGGGGTCCTCAGGACGCACGTAAAAGCTAACATCGGCAATGTGTACACCCACTTCGAAGGCGGCGCCACGTATTCCTTTTGCGTCCAGTCTCGCCACCTCAGAGGGAAGGAGGCGACGCACATGAAGTGCATCGTCCAGATCGCGGGCAGTCCGCGGATCGATAGTGAAGACACACTGATCGCGGAAGTCACGCCGACGTGCGCACTCTGCGGTTAAGTCAGCAGGGGAGGAGTGGGGGAGTATCTTCGCTGACACGTAGGTCTCCACAGCTTCGGGAAAGCTGGTTGCCACTTCCAAGCCCAAGGCAAAGCCAGCATTCACTAGAATGCGATCTGTTTCAGCATCTATGTAATTCATCGTCTCTTCACCAAAACGACGAACCAGCCGGCTAGAGGGAAGTGACAAAAAATAAATACCAATTTTAACGGCAGTGCTGTTGGCAAACCTAGGCAAATCGAATTTCAGCTTATAGAAACAAAAATGCCAATTAGCCAGACTACCAGAAGGTAAAAACCAGCACATTTGGTTTTGATCCACTGAGACCTGTAGCTACAATTCCGAACCAAGTCCCATTATGGTTATTAAAACCATCTAGTGATTTCTTAAATGTGGGGGCACAAAATTAAAATACTCAATTACTTCACAGACAAGCATATCGGGAAAATTTTGCTGCTTTGGTTCCGTGAAGTTACAGCCTAGACTGCCAAATTATGGACTCAACGTAAAACAAGGCTAGGGAGCTAAATAGTTCTCAAATGGCCTGCAATGAGACATATTCAGGGTGGTTGACCTCTCGATGAGCAGTCACTTACTATCTGATAGAGACACTTCAAGCCAATCTATTGGCAGTTAACATAAAAATAATAGTGCAAAAGCTGGATATAGATAAACAAAAGTTGAAGATTAAAAACCGACAACCTTCCACAAAATCAACTTGGCATAAGACATTCATTAGCTATCAGATCTACTTTTTTAATAAAATGCTCACCCTTTGGCATAGAGACTGTCTTCCGGCCAATCAGTGATTTGGGCTACAAATCGCACCAGCTTAAAGGTCTCTGGCTGTCTAACAAAATCTGCGAAATGAAAGAGACAATGAATGCTTTCGATTTTACTCTATCACTACCAGTCACACCAAGTTGACTAAAAAATGGGTGCAAACTCAAAACTACGTCAAAGAGGGGTGCTAAATCCAACCTATAAGCAATGAACTTCGATTTTAAAGAAACAATGAAAGCATGCCCTGGAAAGGGCCAAATAGCTATGCACAAGTGAATGCAGGAGAAAATCGACTCGGGGTCCCACGAAACCTAAAATCAGCTCCACGTAAGGTAAACTTCCTTCAAATACAGTTTACCACAGTTAACATCTGTTCGCAGATTTGCTTCTCAGTACCTACTTAATGCATAACCACCCGTTGTTTTCAATGTCAAATACGGGTCGACGTACACGCCTGCATAGTCTTAGGTTAAGAAGTGCCCTTTTGCGCAGAGAATAGAAAAGTACAATCCCCATGACTGGAATTCATGAGCGTTACTAAGGTTGAAGCAAGCGTGTTGTCTTGAGTAATCTCAAGTGCCTTTCCCTTCATCGAATGAATGACTTAAGCAGTGGTTTGAAAAATGATCAAGGTGACCTAAAAGTGTTAAACTATAACTGACCTTGAGGGCATAAAGATCTAGGGATCACAATTCTGCACATTCTTGAATCAGTAGGACTAAGAAGTGCCAACTGCCAGGCCGACGATGATGGGGAAGTCGTCGTTTCCTCTTTCTCTTTGCTCTCCTTCAGCTTTTGTGAAGAGGAAGATGGAAGGGGTCGCAGATAACCCACGCAGATGCGTGGATTGAGACGACGATGGATGGCAACCACTCGGCCAACACGCTGGATCAACTGCCACCATGGCAGTCGCGCGGCCTCAGAGACACTGGTTACCGACTCGTCAGAGAGATTCGTGGGATCTACCCAATTCGCAAGATGTTCTTTTAATCCATGGGAAATATCCGCAAACAACTGCACACGCAAAAGGAAAAGTAATTAGAAGGCACATAAGTTGAAATATTGTAACCTTCAGCGATTCCTACCGCAGCAAAACATTCAGGGTCGTGACGAAGAAACTCGCCGACGGTAATAAAGGCTGCTTTGCCTGGTTCTAAATTTGCCTGAGCAGTCGAAGCCCATTCTAATACTTTTTGGCTAAGGAATGCGTCATACACCTAAAAGTGGATATAAGATTATATTTGGATGCTAACCCTCCAGTTCTTAACGGGTTCCAGGCACACAACCACCAAGTCGCCATTCAAAGAGCGGTTCCGAGCTCTCGTACCGGGTATGAAAACATCAGCGTCACCTTTCTAGCATGTATTAGTATTGAGATACTTAAAATGATAGAGAGAACCTACCGGATGGTTAATGTAGGCGTCTACATAGTTTTTTGGATTGATTCGAAGTTGTCCCTAGATTAAAGTGGAAACGAAAATGATGGAAATTGAGGTAAAGTATGATTGAGCCTGAAGAGAAAACTGCCCACTATTAACAATGCACCCGAAGAGAGACCATCAGCAATTGCGACTTCATCCCAGTATGAGTCGTACTTTTGCTTCCCACTTCGGCCTCGAGAAAATTCAGAACTGTTTTTCCGCCAATTACCAGGCCTATTGGGGTTAGAATTCCGTTTTGATTTTATATGCGTGGATTTGGTCATTATCTATGGAAAACAAAGGCTAATATATAGTAAAAACGATAGTAAAATACATAAACGCCGAATACGTACATATTAATGTAGAGCTATTCAACCACTCAAGTTGACACAAATAACAAAGCTAGTAAACAAAGTACAGGACAGTGCAGAAATACTAGGCAGAAGCGCGGGTAACCAGAGTCATAGCTTCTACACAGTCACGCTTGTGTCTGATAATGTACCTCGAGATTAAAATCGCCAATGTTCTTGCAGCGATTGGATGGAACCATCATGGGTAACAGTAGCAACGTATCCTGAAAGCTGCAAGCGAAATTTGAAGTTTTGAATAAATGCATTTAGTACTCAGTTGCTAGGCCATGTGAACTCATCATCGGTGCCAATGCTGATTGCAAATTTTGGAATAAAATTAAAAAATCCAAAGTCATATTCATGGGGCATTTGCAAGGATAAAATCTCCTTTGGAAATCCTTACGGCCCAATGGTCTTGCATTAAAGTATTCCTGTGTAGCCACCAAATCATTACTGCCATGGACTTAGGAGCTGATTAAAATTTTGGACCATAGCTAAAGCTTAATGATTTGGGCCGCTTCGAACGCGATTCCACAATGTATATAAAGCTCTTTTAGAAGTCTTCCAGCGGCGTCCCAAGACGTCTCAACGACTAGAAGGCATTAGGTGGAGTTGGATACAGGGAGAGCAAGGGGCTTAAGCCGGAGCCCGGTCCTAAGACCAGCCTACGTGTACATGTAATACATTGGTTGTGTCCATATAACATTTGGCGGCCACTTTAGGATTTGTTCGTGTAGCGTCCCGAGGCTCCAAGTGAGGTAGCAGAAGGCATAAGTGAAGTTGAATATATGTATTCCGAAGACGACAGGGCAAATGGGGCCTGAAAGTGGCCCGAAGGCCAGCCCACGTGCACTTGGCCTAGACAAGTTCTAAAAAAAGTGGCCGCCAAACGTCAGATAGTCACATAAAGAAAGCCTTACAGTTCGACCCTTGTGCACGTGAGCTAGCCTTCGGGCCATGCCCAGGTCCATCCGTGCTGCCATCTTCAGAAAACATGCATTCAGCTGCCCTTGCTGACTTCGCATACCGGTTGGGAAGTCCTCATCAGTCCCCAAGCTGTGGGAGGGATGTCCAGCCCATCTATGCCTTAAAAGACTTTACACTGTGTGATACCCATGTCATGAATTTAACGTTAAAAGTTAATACGAGAATGCACTGAACTGAAAAAAA